TGCTTTTAGTGCCTTGATGTTTCGATATTATGAATTGACTTACTAAATGATGTAAAATGACACAAAATATTATGAATGCGGCTTGTATTATCTGTCCCTTATTATTGACCATATAATGCTATATTATGGCATTATGGGTCTGGGTCGGGTTGGGAATGAGAAGTTCATGTTGATAACTGCTTTGATTATTTTATCATAATGGTATTGTAGGATTTTAGGATTTGTTGATAACTGACTTGATTATTTTATCGTGATACTAGTGTAGGATTTTGGGTCGTTTTGGGTTGGGGGGGGGGCGGGGATTTTGTTTCTATTTATTGGAGTGGAGTATTTTCGTCCACATGCGGAGTTTTCTTTTTATTTTTTGGTGGATTGGAGTGGCAACAATCTTGGCCCATCATGTGGATCATCATGTGGCTCAATAACCTCTAGCTGTACCACTTTTTTTTTTCTTGACGATTGAACCGACCTGGTGTAGACCTGATCTACTTTAAGACATGATGTCAACAATGCCAATAAGATTCTTAGTCTCAGCATTAAGCCAGCTTTTGTCCACTCAAATTTGGTGGACCATTTTTTTTTTACAAGCTTTTATTCAAATGTTCATAGGTGACAATGAACTCATTCCACCAGTGCAGCTGTGACAGTCCCCCTACGCAACCCATTGCCTACACCAGTGACAGTCCCCCGCGCAACCCATTTCCTACACCAGTGACAGTCCCCTGCGCAACCCGTTGCCTACACCTCTGACACGGCGCGTAGAAGTTAGGAACTAGGAGGAGTCGCATCTTTATGAAATTTACTTTCAGTGCAGCCATTTTGATTTCATACCTTATTATTAGTCTACGTTCTTTAAATCTCTATAATATATTCATTATAATTTTAATGCTATTATTTTATGCCATCTCTCGGGATTGGTTACCCAAAGAACACGGTTTGGTTTGGTTTTATAGTAAATCCGCCACTGCGATTATGACTTTTGAATATTATCATGTGTTTGCATTCTAATTTTTCATTGGCATGATTGCGTGGTCGGATTAAGACGTTTGGGGCACTGATTACAGTCAACATAGGGACACATATCTGTCTAAGTATTGTCCGTCCATAGATGGTGATTGCAGTACGAGGCACTGGGTACAGTCAACGTATAAGGACACATATCTGTCTAAGCATTGTCCGTCCATAGATGGTGATTGCAGTACGAGGCACTGGGTACAGTCAACATAGGGACACATATCTGTCTAAGTATTGTCCGTCCATAGATGGTGATTGCAGTACGAACCACTGGGTAAAGTCAACGTATAAGGACACATATCTGTCTAAGCATTGTCCGTCCATAGATGGTGATTGCAGTACGAGGCACTGGGTACAGTCAACGTATAGGGACACATATCTGTCTAAGCATTGTCCGTCCATAGATAGTGATTGCAGTACGAACCACTGGGTACAGTCAACGTATAGGGACACATATCTGTCTAAGCATTGTCCGTCCATAGATGGTGATTGCAGTACGAGGCACTGGGTACAGTCAACGTATAGGGACACATGTCTGTCTAAGCATTGTCCGTCCATAGATGGTGATTGCAGTACGAGGCACTGGGTACAGTCAACGTCTTTTGCTATATTTCACATTGAGGCAATGGAATATATCACACCTACGTTCCCTGCCCTATATCCCATCTACACCCATTGTATCTCCCATCTAGACCGCCTTGCCATATTTCCCATCTACAACCCTGCCATATCTCTCACCTACACCACCAACCCCCTGATAAATCGCCATACCACACCCCTGCCAACTCTCCACCCACCCCTCTCCTTTGTTTCTTATCTTGAAGAGATTTTTAGACTTTTATTTATTTTTTTAGAATTTTTTTTTTAGATACAAGTGGATTATATTGTGAAACGAAGGTGAAATAACTTCAAGACTTTGATGAAGCCCTTTGATTTTCTGTGAATTAAAGATTTTCAATCATTTAACGTTTGTTGTTCAACCTCTTCCCCCTCCCAACATCTGCCTTGATACCGCAATCAACCTCTCCACCATCTGCCTTGATACCACGATCAACCTCTCCACCATCTACCTTGATACCACGATCAACATCTCCCCATCTACCTTGATACCACGATCATCTCCACCATCTACCGTGATACCCCGTTCAACCATCCCCTCCCTGTTTGTAAACAGCCCCGTCGCACGTGCGTCATGTGCCGCAGATCGACCCCACCATCTGGCACAGTAATATGTATACAAACACAGGTGCGAACTTCTGCCTGCACGTCAGTATATGTGCACATGTATGTGCGTACATGTTTATGCGTATAAGTAGATGTTCAGGCGGCAAATCAAACCAACCGTGAAGACGGATGAGGACGTAAAATAGTGCTATATGTTATTCGCAATGATCGGACAAAACTTTAAACAAATGAAATCTTTATATGTAGGCCTATATGTATATATATTTATTAAATTGTACGTTTGCTTTTAGTGCCTTGATGTTTCGATATTATGAATTGACTTACTAAATGATGTAAAATGACACAAAATATTATGAATGCGGCTTGTATTATCTGTCCCTTATTATTGACCATATAATGCTATATTATGGCATTATGGGTCTGGGTCGGGTTGGGAATGAGAAGTTCATGTTGATAACTGCTTTGATTATTTTATCATAATGGTATTGTAGGATTTTAGGATTTGTTGATAACTGACTTGATTATTTTATCGTGATACTAGTGTAGGATTTTGGGTCGTTTTGGGTTGGGAGGGGGGGGCGGAGATTTTGTTTCTATTTATTGGAGTGGAGTATTTTCGTCCACATGCGGAGTTTTCTTTTTATTTTTTGGTGGATTGGAGTGGCAACAATCTTGTATTGTCCGTCCATAGATGGTGATTGCAGTACGAACCACTGGGTAAAGTCAACGTATAAGGACACATATCTGTCTAAGCATTGTCCGTCCATAGATGGTGATTGCAGTACGAGGCACTGGGTACAGTCAACGTATAGGGACACATATCTGTCTAAGCATTGTCCGTCCATAGATGGTGATTGCAGTACGAACCACTGGGTAAAGTCAACGTATAAGGACACATATCTGTCTAAGCATTGTCCGTCCATAGATGGTGATTGCAGTACGAGGCACTGGGTACAGTCAACGTATAGGGACACATATCTGTCTAAGCATTGTCCGTCCATAGATGGTGATTGCAGTACGAGGCACTGGGTACAGTCAACGTATAGGGACACATGTCTGTCTAAGCATTGTCCGTCCATAGATGGTGATTGCAGTACGAGGCACTGGGTACAGTCAACGCATAAGGACACATGTCTGTCTAAGCATTGTCCGTCCATAGATGGTGATTGCAGTACGAGGCACTTGGTACAGTCAACGTATAGGGACACATATCTGTCTAAGGTGATCCAGGGTGATTTAGTGCATATGCCAAGGACAGCGCTATTTCAAGAATCGTTACTTCCAGGTTTCACTCTGCCAAAAAGAACTATATATGTTGTGTTTTCTGGTGGGGGGTGGGGGTGATAATGCCTCCCTACGTCACTGATGTGGGGATAATTAGGTAGTGATGCAGATTATAAAAAGAGCCAACAAATTTATTATGTGACTTCTCATTTATGATTCATTGAAATTTTGAAATCTTGGACACAGTGAAGTCAGAAAACATAAAGAACTAATAATTCCATTATCTTTTTTAAGATACTAGATTAATTATCTATTTTTTCCATTTTATAAAAAAATCTCATTTCCAATTTTGAAATTTAAATCAGAGTGATGAACGGTTTTTCCCATTGTATTTGTTTCCGAGAATCAATCCAGTTTCTTGTAATGTTTAGAGAAGAAAAAAATGAGGTTTATATTCTATATTTTTACTTCTTGGTTTACCTAGTTCTTTCAGTCAATATCCCTTACGATATTTTTGTTTCTTTTGATCCATTTTAACTTGGCACCAAGCACAAAGAAATGACGTACGAATATCTATTTTTAGTTTGACTTTCTTGTGAGGTTTTCTAAGGAGCTGTTTTGCAGCTATCACTTTTTTAAAACGTGTCTTTGCAAAAAAAAAAACAGTAATGAATCGGGATGAACCTTGCCGTGACCTATGATATAGTGGGTCATATGACCTTTACCAGCCGAGAAGTTTGGTTTTCCAACCGACTAAATTTTAAGTCACGTGTGAAATTATTTTTGGCCGATTTAATGAAATACTCAGCTCACAAATAGGATGATGGATTCGTTCTACCATGACGTCACACACGGCCGGATTGAGCTTAGCCAAGGCCAGATGTGTAGCTAATGGAGGGCAGAGGGGGCAGATATCCCCTAGCGCAAGCATTAGGGGGCGTAAATGGTATTTCATCGATGAAAAATGGCGTTCAGATTTGGGGGAGGTGGTGTAAAATTGTGTCCCCGGGCGCCAAAACTCTAGCCACGCATCTGCTCAAGGCCCCAAGCTATTCTATTAGTGAGATCCCTTGCCATACCCCCCTCGTCTTATTTAACTAAAAAGAAAACTCCAATTAAAATAGTCAAAAGATTTTTGTACTCTTGTTTGCTAGTTCTTGCACATACAATTGTAAGTGTATTTTTTTTGTTCATAATATCAATACCCAAATTTCACCTCGATTAAAAATTGTATTAATACCTTGAACTTGTTTTTTTTTTTTAAGATGGGAAAGTCTTCCTGACAAATGCAGCACTAAATATGGTTTATCATTAACCAGTCTGTTTGAGAATATATTTTAATAAAGAAACAGGAAAACAAATTATGAAATACAGTGGAAATCACTTTAACTGCACCTCTCCATAACGCATTTCGCTTAAACGCACCTCTCTATAACGCATCTCGCTTTAACGCACCTCTCTATAACGCATCTCGCTTTAATGCACCTCTCTATAACGCATCTCGCTTCAATGCACCTTTCCATAACGCATCTCGCTTTAATGCACCTCTCCATAACGCATCTCGCTTTAATGCACCTCTCCATAACGCATCTCGCTTTAATTCACCTCTCCATAACGCATCTCGCTTTAATGCACCTCTCTATAACGCATCTCGCTTTAATGCACCTTTCCATAACGCATCTCGCTTTAATTCACCTCTCTATAACGCATCTCGCTTTAATGCACCTTTCCATAACGCATCTCGCTTTAATTCACCTCTCTATAACGCATCTCGCTTTAATGCACCTCTCCATAACGCATCTCGCTTTAATGCACCTCTCTATAACGCATCTCGCTTTAATGCACCTTTCCATAACGCATCTCGCTTTAATGCACCTCTCTATAACGCATCTCGCTTTAATGCACCTTTCCATAACGCATCTCGCTTTAATGCACCTCTCCATAACGCATCTCGCTTTAATGCACCTCTCTATAACGCATCTCGCTTTAATGCACCTCTCCATAACGCATCTCGCTTTAATGCACCTCTCTATAACGCATCTCGCTTTAATGCACCTTTCCATAACGCATCTCGCTTTAATTCACCTCTCTATAACGCATCTCGCTTTAATGCACCTTTCCATAACGCATCTCGCTTTAATGCACCTCTCTATAACGCATCTCGCTTTAATTCACCTTTCCATAACGCATCTCGCTTTAATGCACCTTTCCATAACGCATCTCGCTTTAATGCACCTCTCTATAACGCATCTCGCTTTAATTCACCTTTCCATAACGCATCTCGCTTTAATGCACCTTTCCATAACGCATCTCGCTTTAATTCACCTTTCCATAACGCATCTCGCTTTAATTCACCTTTCCATAACGCATCTCGCTTTAATGCACCTTTCCATAACGCATCTCGCTTTAATGCACCTCTCTATAACGCATCTCGCTTTAATTCACCTTTCCATAACGCATCTCGCTTTAATGCACCTTTCCATAACGCATCTCGCTTTAACGCACCTCTCTATATCGCATCTCGCTTTAACGCACCTCTCTATAACGCATCTCGCTTTAACGCACCTCTCTATAACGCATCTCGCTTTAACGCACCTCTCTATAACGCATCTCGCTTTAACGCACCTCACCATAACGCATCTCGTTAGATCACGAATATGCATAGAAAAGTTCGTATTAGCAAATGACATTTTTTTCTAAGTGCGTGGGGGTATGGCCTGGCCGTGAGGGGTATAACCTGGCCTGGAGGGGTATAGCCTGGCCTGGAGGGGTATAATCTGGCTTTAAGGGGTATGGTCTGGCCTTGAGGGGTATAGTTTGGCCTTGAGGGGTATACTCTGGCTTTAAGGGGTATGGTCTGGCCTTGAGGGGTATAGTTTGGCCTTGAGGGGTATAGTTTGGCCTTGAGGGGTATACTCTGGCTTCATTGTTTAAGTCAGTCAAATTTCTCACTTTACTTATTTGACAAAGCTAACCCCCCACCCCCCACCCCCTACCCCCCCCCCCAAAAAAAAATTAATAATTTAAAAACATTAAAAGATAAAATATTAAGTAATTCGTGTGTTGATCACAGTATTATTATTATATAAACAAGATTTTACTTTCGACTGCATTCAATTCGAATTATTTGGCTACACAGAGTGCTCATCTACACTTCTGCGCAGACTTTCTTAGCATAATGCATTTTAAGAAATTTAAAATTATACTATAACCTTTTTTTTAGTATGTTTAAACTCATCTTCGAAAGAAAATCTTTTTTAAAATGGTTATTTAAATATATTTTTTAATTTAAAAGTAATTTTTTAAAAATAATAATAATTTTTTTTTTTTTTTTTTAAAGCTCGAGTGTCTATAGAATATGGTCTCTTTAACTGTGAGGCTCTGTCGATTTTGTAGGCCCTAGAATTAACCCTACTTTTCCTTTAGGGAAATTAAATGGTTATTTAAATATATTTTTTAATTTAAAAGTAATTTTTTAAAAATAATAATAATTTTTTTTTTTTTTTTTTTAAAGCTCGAGTGTCTATAGAATATGGTCTCTTTAACTGTGAGGCTCTGTCGATTTTGTAGGCCCTAGAATTAACCCTACTTTTCCTTTAGGGAAATCAGGACCTGGTTGTACACATAACAAACTGGGTTGTTTTTTAATATACATGTACATAAGGATGAGCACAGTTTCGGGTTGCTGTGTCTGTGACCTACAGGTGTAGTAGCTTCTCTACGCAGCCCAATGAGTTCGACCTAGTCTTAAAGGCACACCCTTGTTTGTGTTCCTGTTAGCTGGCCTTCGACCGTGGTCGACTAGGAGAATTATTACCGGTAGTTTATTTACTGGAAGACTGGGGAACTGTTTCGGTGATGTGTGGGTTGTTTGGGGAAAAAATGTGTTTCGGGAAAAAATTAACACGATTAACGATTAAAACCTATAGTGGCTAAGAGGGCTAAAACCGAGGACGGCGCCACGGCGTCTTTTGTGTCTTTATTATAGTTGCAATGAATTAAGGTTTAGTTTAGTCATAGGGATCGATTTAGGGTTCAGCTTAGGCATAGGGATCGATTTAGGGTTCAGGTTAGGCATAGGGATCGATTTAGGGTTCAGGTTAGGCATAGAGATCGATTTAGGCTTCAGGTTAAGCATAGGGATCGATTTAGGGTTCAGCTTAGGCATAGGGATCGATTTAGGGTTCAGGTTAGGCATAGGGATCGATTTAGGGTTCAGGTTAGGCATAGGGATCGATTTAGGCTTCAGGTTAAGCATAGGGATCGATTTAGGGTTCAGGTTAGGCATAGGGATCGATTTAGGGATACATTCGGGAAATTCGATAAAAAAAGTGGCAGTCATCTCCATTTTTAACCGCTACGAGTAATAATGAGGTAGAAAAAAGGGGGGAGAGAGTGGGAGGACGGTTCAACTGAAGCGGGATTTTTCGTTGGGAAAGAAAAAAGGGGGAAGATGCGGTTGCGTGGCATAATTTTTGGCAAGCCGCAGGTGGCGCTAACCCTTGCTACGCCATTGAAGGGATAGGTTACTAGGTTGTGTGGTAGGTTACTAGAAGTTTGTCTGAAGCCTTGAGCCCCTTCTTTCCCACAAGGTGAGAGTGGGTAACTCAACCTGTTTATTCTAGTGGAGTCTGTGTAAAGACAATCCGAAACCATGCATTAAAACAAAAGAATTTTTAAGTGCTTAACCATTTTAATAGTCTCGTTGTTCTGGTTTAATACGGTACACTGCTCGCGGAACCAACCCGAGGCATACTAATCCGGCTCCCGGCAGTGTCTGGGGGCATTGATCTAGCCCCTTGTTAAAAAAGTTTGAGGACCCTTGGCATACCGTATAGCTATCGCTCGGACACACACATAAGTGCAATAAGAATAAGTGTCATGCTCACCCGGGGAACCACTGGTGCAATCTTATTCTACATCCCCTGTTCCAACGTCAATTCCGAATCAACCTCTGGTAGTATCTGAGATTATCATCTCGCTGAATCGTCTCACAATTATTACTATCTCAGATAATGTTCAAAAATTTAAAAAAAAACAACAACAAACAAACAATTTTTTTGGCCTATTTTAATCACGAAGTCTAGTCACGTGCTTCAGCGTGAGGGTTCACGCGCAAAGAATCAACCCCCGCTGCTAACCTACCTTTCTTTTACACACCAGAACTCGGGCGAATTGCTCACCTCGTCACCGACAAGCAGCCCACGACTGTGTGCTCCCCGCGCTCAGAAAACAGATCAGTTATGTTGGTGACCGCTGGTTAAAGACAACATCATCATTCTGACACTCATCCTATCATTGTGTTTGCGTGGCACGAACGCTGACAAAGAATTGAGTCGACTCCGTGTTTCATTTAGTGTTGTGACTTACTCTCACAAGGGATACTCTTCACGGTGATGTTATTTACTTGCCCGCAGGTTTACAGCGCACTGAACTAAATGGTGTTTTCGGAGGCAGGTAAATAAGAAATCTCGCCAAATTTTGGGACCACAAAATCCATTTGTCTACTGCGTATATTCTTTGATGATGTATTGTTTGTTTTTGTTTTTTTTAAATAAGTTAATTTTAATGCGGAATGCGTTCATTCACAAGGTGAGGTTCACTGTCGATAAATCTAAAACATTATTGGTTTTTGTTTTGGTAAGCTGATAATATAGCGATGTAATATGTTGTTTGTTTAGTCGCAATTGCTTGAAGCTCCCATTGTAAACAAACAGAACACATTGTACAAACGGTTGAAGTGATAAAGCACAGTGCGTAAGGTGAGGACAAGGACTGCGTACTCGGTTATGTTATAAAAGAAAAACACACGTAAATAAAAAAAAAATAACACACACACAGATCTTCACATTAACTCAAGAGGTCAATGTACTTAACGAAGTGGCGAATTCAATGAAGGTTTCTCAACCAACCAGCCCCCCCCTCACTATTTTCCCACTGGTGTAGGAAGATGTGTATACAAAAAAAAAAAGGGGGGGGGGTGTTCCGTCCCCGGTGGTACTTTAATCTATATATTGAGGGGCGAAATTTTCTACCACTTCCTGAGTTTTTTTCCCACTGGTGTAGGAAGATGTGTATACAAAAAAAAAAAGGGGGGGGGGTGTTCCGTCCCCGGTGGTACTTTTATCTATATATTGAGGGGCGAAATTTTCTACCACTTGCAGAGTTTTTTTTCGTTGGGGAAGGGCGGCAAAAATAGTGGCCCACCCTTGTTGGCATTAACCTTAACTACGCCACATCTCTCCCAAACCCCACCCCACCCCCACAGGGTAACGAATGTGTAACATGCATTGATTATCCCCCCTGCTTTCAGTAAACTTTTTATTTAATGTACAATGAAATGTGTTTTGATTTCTCGACTTCTATTGTGTACCAATATCCATTCACTTGGGATGGCTAATTGTGTACCAATATCCATTCACATGGGATGGCTAATTGTGTACCAATATCAATTCACATGGGATGGCTAATTGTGTACCAATATCCATTCACATGGGATGGCTAATTGTGTACCAATATCAATTCACATGGGATGGCTTACATTCTAAAATGTTGTCAAAATTTTAAGTGGCTTTTTTTTTTAAAGCTGGCACATCACGTTGGATCTTTGTAAATTTGTATGGGTATATTTATATAAATTATCAATAGATGCTCGCATGCATCAAACACTCTATGCCAGGATTACATCAAAAGGTAGGCGCGGTCCCTGCCAGTTGGCCTTGATGTAAATATTTGGCGCGTTGACATTTGTTTCATCCGCTCATTGGATGGGCTGGCAGACGTTTACATGACATACCTAACTAAAACAGGGGTATAATGCGCCCGGGGGGGGGCGGGGGGGCGGAAAATAACTATCACGTGATCGCCATAGCAAAGACACTATTAACGAAACGAAAAACCACAGTTACGTCATCTACAGCGATAACAATATCATTTGTGGGCGTAATTCCAATTGTGTTATTTGTTTCTTTTCAACTGTTCCCTATTCCCCGTTAACTTCATAATAGCAGAGTTTATTGTATGGCATAAAGTATGAAAAAGAGCCACTGACGTTATCTCAAATCCTCAATCTCAATATTTACACGGGAGCAGTGGCGTGGGAAGAGGTTGGGGAGGTAGCGCCCCCCCTCCCCCCACGACATACCTTTTTTATTTATATTGAAGGGTTGCATATTCGGCCTACTGGGGAGGGTGTTTTTTTCCGTGGAATGGGGCATCAAAAACCTTCCCGGGTGGAACTATCGTTGAGTTCACGTTGAGTTCACGTTATTTCACGGGTCAAGGATGATGATTGGGAAATTGCCGTTTACATAAATGTTTTGATATTAGTTCACGCATTAGTGTACCGTTTTTGGTCAACCTGTCCTGATGTCCGGTCCAAATATTTACACAAATAGGTCAACCTGTCCTGATGTCCGGTCCAAATATTTACACAAATAGGTCAACCTGTCCTGATGTCAGGTCCAAATATTTACACAAATAGGTCAACCTGTCCTGATGTCAGGTCCAAATATTTACACAAATAGGACAACCTGTCCTGATGTCCGGTCCAAATATTTACACAAATAGGCCAACCTGGCCTGATGTCCGGTCCAGATATTTACACAAATAGGACAACCAGTCCTGATGTCCCGGCCTCTTATTGACAGCTTCTAACAATTTATTTCCGCATACATATAGCAGTAACAGTTTGTGTGTAAAATCTTGTTAGGTTAAGACCCACTATGCTGGATCACGTTGAGATCGGTCAGACTGTAGGCCCGGATATTCTATTAATGGATTTCCACCATGAAATGACAAACCCTATTATTATAATATTTTATACAGATTTATATAAACATACTCGAATTCAAATACTTGCATTTTTTTTAAGAGTCAAAATTTCAAAAAGTTTTTTTTTTTTAAATTGTTGTTTTGTCTGTAAAATGTATCTTGTTGAATTGAACCCCCCCCCCCCCCTTTTTTTTTAAAATATAAATTTTAAAAAATTTTTTTTTTTTTAATTTTTTTTTTTTTTTTAAAAATTTTTTTTTTTAAATTACCCCCCCCCCCCCCACCAACCCCTCAATCCCCCGCCAGTGGCCCATTTTATATATACTTATTTCCCCAGTAACTATCGGCCATTTGTATAACAGACCACCAACAACCTCACTGACCACAGACTCAATCAAATTAAAGCTGATGGCTGATAAGTGAAAACTCCAATAGCTGATTCCTAACAGTGGCGCAGTAAATCTCCGAGTTCTAGGTCATGTGTACAAACAAACAGGTCTAGACTACACATGGCAGGCTTTAAACTTGGCAACACTGGGCAGCGTCTTCTATGTGTTGAAACTGAAATGACTTGCCACCAAAGTGTGAGTTTGTTAAAGTAAACATCCAGGAGGTTCGAGTTGGGTTGTTTTTTTTTTTTGTTTTTTTTGTGGTCTTTTTCCGAAGGCAACTCTCGAAGATCTTAAAATTTGGAAAACCGTTGCCATGGCGATGACTGACGCGATGGATGAGACGGATTATTCCGCCGTTGATTTCAATCAGCTGGAGGACAGTGTCAACAACTTTGACAGCTACGACGCGAGCATGAGGCGACACCCCCCGTGGCTGACCGAAGGTCACTTCGTGTACCACCTGCTCAGAGATGGCGATGGTAAGCTGGGGTTTGTCAAGGATGGCCAGGGAGAGCCCATCTGCTCCCCGAGGTAAGCAATGTGTCGTAGACCGTCTTGCCCATTTTCCATAGCAAGTTCCATCTAGATAGCACAAGCCCATCTATTCCCCGAGGCCATAATTGTGTCTTAGTAACTCTTAGTAGACTTAGCTAGGCCTATTTTCTAGAGTCAATTGTGTTATCTAGATAAGTGTTTCCCAAATGTTAAGTTTGGATAAAAGTGGATAAGTTTCGAAAATGAACCAGCATAACTAGAGACCGGTGCCATATTGATATATTATAATATCAATGACGTAACAACGGCTTGGCATTGGGGCAGTTGCCAAGGGCGCCGGCCTGCGCCAGTTCAAAAGGGCGCCGCTAAATCTCTAATTTTAAAATTTTTATCCATTTATCAAGGGCGCCAAAAATAAATTAGCCAAGGGCGTCAAAAACCCAGGTACGCCTCTGTATATTATATTTTCCTTCATTGACCATAAATATTTATGTTGTGCGAACCGACAACTTAAGGCTCGCGGACCGTTGCCGGTCCATGGACCATCGTCGGTCCGTGGACCATCGTTTGGGGAACACTGATCTTGATATCATGTGACTAAATATGTAAGGATAGCTACATAAACCGAACTAAATAAGAAGTTTTCTTAGAGCGTGTGTCTATCTGCACGGCCGTGTGTATGTTTGGGTCCTGGGCATAGCCACACAAAAAGAGCACTGTGCATAGCCAACAAAGAGACCTATGACCATGTATATCATTTCTTCCGGAATGTGACATACGGAAACCTCTTAATCATAATCCAGGTTCCGTGGCCCCTTGTGTTTCAACAGACACTTTCCCACCTTGCGTAATGGATACTCTGGATAACCAGTCTCTCTGTTCTTGTTATGGTATGTGGTGAAATTTTTGTAACTATAGCACAAGACTTAACTGTTCGGTCGGCTCTACTCAAGGACACAGCCTTTACAGGTTGGAAGTATCCGTACGTCCGTATTGCTAGGTAATTAAATGTGGGTTTCATACGTCAACATTGTACCAATTCTGTATGTGGGGAAACCAAATCTCTATGTGTGAACCCAAATCTCTATGTGTTAAAACCAAATCACTATGTGGGGAACCAAATCTTTATGTGGGAAACCTTATCTCTATGAGGGGAAACCAAATCTTTATGTGGGGAAACCAAATCTTTATGTGGGGAAACCAAATCTCTATGTGGTGAAACCAAATCTCTGTGTGGGGAAACCAAATCTCTAAGTGGGAACCAAATCTCTATGTGGGAAACCAAATCACTATGTGGGAAACCAAATCTCTATGTGGGGAACCAAATCTCTATGTGGGAAACCAAATCTCTATGGAGGAAACCAAGTCGTTGAGCACGAAGCTGACTTCCACTGTTAACGGATCCTTGCACAAACTTCCTTTGTTAGATAATCCACCAACGTTATTTTACCCGCAGGAAGCTCCAAGACCTCTGCCAGTACGAGATGGTTTCACAGTCCAGAAGGTTGGAGAGTCTCAAGCTGAACTCTCTCCCCTCTGACCTTTACCCTTGCCTCATGACCGAGGCTATCTTGCAGAAGCAGCTCAAATCTATTGCCTATCTCATTTCCACGTGGCCATTCCCACTCTTGCACATACAGGTTGGTCATGCTAAGTACGACTCTCAGATGTCCGTAGGATTCTTTACACTGTGTTTTATGTTGATTTGTTTTTTGGGGGTTTTTTTTTCCCTTTTTTTTTTGTTGTTGTTTTTGGGAAATAGGGAGTGGGGGCACACATATCGTTACTTGTCAATGCTTAGAATATACTGTAACTTCTGGTAATGCAATGAATTTTATGGATAAAACATTTTTTTTTTAAATTTAAAAAAAAAAAAAAAAAAAAATAAAATGTAAATGCAATAATTGAACTGGTCCTGGCCATCTGTTTAAAGGTACGCCGTTGAAACAAGTAGGCCTACATATGCAGGCACCCTAATCGTAAATTTGTGAAGATATTGATCCCGTTTAAACTGGATGTTTGATTAACCGATTGACTCCAGTTGCTTGTCTGATGACGTAATGGGGTCCATTGGAAGTCTGAGGCAACAATGGGAGACTTGGATATTGCTTGGATACTTGTGAAATTTTTTTGTTGAAAAAAAATCAAGGACGTTTTACTTAAGGGATCCCCAGTCATCATTGAATGGGCCAGTGGGTTGAGGTTATGAACCCCTGTTTATAATGCGAGATACTCCGTTTCATTTTGGCAGAGTCTGATCCCCGATGAGGAGCTGGTCTGCAATGATTACTTGACCTTGGCCTTGGAGAATGGCGAGGGTATGTCGTTGATGGACAGTTTTGCTCTGGGTCTGCTGAGTCTCAAACCTCACTCTCGACTAAAGTGTGTCAACTTTACTGGGTTCAGACACGGTAAGAAAGTGCTCACTAGAAAACTAAAAGGTGGTTTTTGTCGTAGTGGATAAATACAAAACATTAAAAAGAAGAAGAAAAAAACACTTTCCACTACTATTTGAATTGTTAGGTATCTTTACAAATATTTCATCTATATATCGAGAAAAAAAAGGAAAAACAGCAGTTATTCCACCTAAGATGCCAGATATTCCTTAAACGACCAATGATAAAGGCTCAACACAGAAATTTTAAAAAATGGACATAAGTTTTGAAAATAAATAATCTGACCCCCCCCCCCCCCCCCCCCGATCGTCGGTTGTGTAGAGAACTGATGAGACTTCCCATTGTGTGGATGAGACCAGGAGACAGGCAGTCGGGATATTTACACAGTTTGTTGAGGAAGACATTAGGTGAGGATATTATGAGGTAGTGCGGGATGGAGTGATGGCTATGGAGATTTTTGGGTGGGAGGTTATCGAGCAATGATCGCGGAAATGGTGGAACATAATAGGATGGCATGATGGGAGGGGAGAAAAGTTGTTAATGAATGAAAAGGTTGGATTAGATGTTTAGTTAATGAAATAGGATTATCAACAACAAAAAACGTGAACAAATAATTAATTGATAATGATAAAGTGTTTATTTTATGATGGTTGATGTGGGACTCCGTTTCGCTTAGCCTTAGATAGAATAAAAGACTCACTGAAGTATAATTTATTTGTGAAAATTTGTCATGAGTGGTTTCAAAGTGGCGTCACAGTGGCACCGGTTCTTCATAATCCTAACCTTGCCTGGCGACCATCATTCACTGTTGTACTCAACTGGCCATAATGTTTTTCAAATTTTCAAGAACAATTATTTTGAACCAATTTCTATTTTATTTTAGCTAAACTCCCATGGTTATGGCTTTACTAATTTTGCACTTTTCAATTTAGTGCTCATCATATACGGTCATATGGTCCCTAGCTTCACCCTTCTGTTTGTACAGCTTCTATCCACACATACATTATTTTCAACCAACTTAATTTTGTTTCATCCCCAGCCATAAGTAAAGACAAAGTACAAAGATATCTGAATAGAATCTCATGTATTTATTCCAACATTGATTTATTAGTTCGCCATGGCCACATGTTTGGTGAGTCTAGCAATTTAAATCTGGCATATCCTCTTTTGTGATATGTTGTCAAGCTTTTGTTGTTTATTTTATTTGACTGCTAAGATCTACGTAAGATCTGCTCACATATTTTTGGATAAGTAAGCTTAATAAAATTATGCATGCATGCAATTTTTAATTTGCTTAATTTTGGACACTCATCGTTGCATGATTGGGGCACATAAATGACTTAATGTTTATCACATGCAGGCCTATCTGGCCCATACTTTCCGTAAGACAAGAGTTCAGTACAGGTGAACAAATCTTGATACAACTACCTATGAATGTATGAAATCACTAAATCCTACAGTGGCCACAAGATCCACCTCACATCACAAAGGCTAAACAATGCTCTAGAAGTGAGAAAAGTATCTCTAAAAAATTTAACAAATGAGTTTTGACTACTTCACTTTCTATTAAAATAGTTTCCGGACTTATACTGCACTTCAAGAAGGGAGGCATCGCTTTAAGAATTTGTGCACCACATCAGTTAGAAATTGTAAATTGATAAAGCCTGCTATTAGAATTAAACAAACAAAATAAACTATGTACAATTTACAAAACTGAATAGGCCTACATATAATGGAAATGAGATTTAAATATATGCCTCCTTTTGTTCTTTTAAAATATTATGCTTTGGGCTGTTGAAAATAACATTTTCAATAGTGGGTCCCTTGCCAGTTATTTAGAGCCATTTTCTAGATTATTACAGAAAAAAAAATCCTATTATAATAACTAGATAAAATATTACTAAAATCATTAAACTAATTTCACTCTATTACTTTTAAATTGTGTTATTATTTTGAAACATTCATGGTTCACATTTTCAATTTTCTTTTTCATCAGGCCGTTTTTTCTTGTGGGGAAGGTACTTTATTGTTCTTGGTTTTTTTTTTAAAGGGACATTTTTTAAATGCTTTTGAAAATTTTTTAAAATTTTATGTAAATAGGAAATAAATAGCTTGCTATCTTCAAATATAAAATTTAATATTATGCATAATCTCTTATGGCACTCATAATTCTCGTAAATGTATTATTAACATAATTTGTTCTTTATTTTTAAAACTCTAACCAACCATAACATTTCATCAGATTTATGCATGTACTATTAACCAATCTGAACCTTTCTCTAGGCCCTGTGACCATAGCTCTTGACTGCAAGTTAACGATTGATGATGTCCCCATTGGCTTAGCTTTACAAGGCCACTCCCCTTTTCGCTATGTGTGTCAGAGGGCGTGGCTAGAGGTTCTGCCTGATGTGTGTCTTCCAGTGTCGCTAATCAACAAAGTGTTAGAACCTAGAGTATGTTTATAATTTTCAAATGTCAAAATTCTTAAGGAGAGCTTTGACACCTGGCTACATAGTTTACAAATGCTTTGCCTATCGTAAGGTTGTTACTTTTTAAATTGAATATGTTTTATATAATTTTGAATGGAATTATTAAAAATCAAAATTTCTTTGTGTATGACAACATGTGACCTAAGATATTTATGCAAATTTAGAAGTAACTATTTAAAATGTTATCATTTACAGATGATCACCCCCATAGCTTTAACAGATCATCACACCATATACAATGAGTAAAAATTACAGATGATAAAAATTGAAAATTAGCATCTAATACAAGTTCATAAAAAGCAGATTGTGTAACTTTTCCCTTTCAATGACATTGCAGTATTTAACTCATATTGAGATTGAAGACAGCGAAGTTTGTTCTGATCCCTGTCGTTGGGAATGTCTTCTTGAAGGATTGTCTCAATTGTCAGAGTTGCAGTGTCTCTCTCTGCCTAACTCTATCCATGTGACGCTTCTGCCAACAGCCTTGTCTCAGCTGTGTGCTGTGTTCAAATCACTGAGTAATCTCAGAAAAGTAATTAATTGAAATAAGGTTAAGGGGTTACTTTTATTCTTGTCAAGCTTAAAACAGCATGACTTTATTTCTTAATCTTCCTATAGACATGGCTATTGTTACAATCTCAGATTTAAGTGTTTACTTACATATTTTTATAAAGAAAACTTTGAAAAATAATAAATTTGGCATTATTTGAATGTTTATAAATTGTATATGAGTGTACAACATCTCCCTTCCCCAGTTAAATTTGGCCTCATGTACATTGAAAGACTCACTGGACAGCTTGTTGTCCTACTTAACATGCAGCCTGACCTACTTGAACCTCAGAGATTGTAGACTGACACCATCAGACATTAGATCTCTACTTGTGTGGTCTAAACTGTCTTCTCTGAGAGAACTGAACTTGAGCAGAAATAATCTTAGCTCTCTTTCCCCATTGGTATGTATTTACATATTCTTGCTTGTACCTCAAGATTTATTGGCATTATGATTTTTCTTTCATTGGTCATTATTTGCTGCCTATATGAAGTTAATTAAGTTATTGCTATGAAAAGCTGTACTTGTGACATTCAAATTATTAATTATCTACTTTTCATGGCTTGTTGCATCTCTTGACATAATTATTTAAAAAGGTCTGACCTTTCAGCTCAAAAACACATCAGTCATAAGCACAATTTCTGAAATACTCGAAATTTTGTTGAAGGGTGATGAGTCAAGTGTACTTGTTAAATTGTGTAAAAAAAGGTACATATTAGATAAATCCCTCTAATGACAAACACATAGTTTAGAGCAAGGTATTAACATCACTAAAAGTCAATGAAATTGTGAAGCCACCAAAAAATTATTGTTCATGGGGTCAAATCAATAGAAAAATTGAGCTCAGCAGAGTTTATTTTCTCACTGTGTTGTAGTTAATTCTGTCACTTTTACTCTATGTTGTGTTTTATTTTCTCCATAGATTGCTAACATGCTAGTGAGGATGGAGCTGATCACTTGCTTCTCTGTGTCATTCTGTTCACTGACGCTAGAAGGAATTCGCCACATTGTGCGTCACTGTATGGACTGCTCCTACTTGAAGGTGTTGTGCGTTCAATCATTCATACCACCGCCATCATACGAGGTCAGTCTACATTGTCTTACATTACTTTTTTGTCTTCTAATTTGTCAATTAAAAAAAAAAAAGATTCTTATTTGGGGTGTGCCAATTACTTTATACTAGCAAACCACCTATGAGCTCACCCTCCCCCCTAACCAGATGACTCGTTGGTCCTGGTCGATTTTGACGGATGAACAACACAACAACTAGCACAAATATAATTTTCTGGTTTGACGTTCCTCTTCCTTAATCTTAATCAAAATGTTGATATTGTAAAATATAAATTACATTGATTTCTTAAATGTAAAACATGAGAAACAAAACACTTTGTTTGCTGTAAGTCTTAACTCTGTAACTAGTTTTTAAAATAGAACATTTTAACAACATCAAAAATATTACTTTAAAAATGTAAATAAGCTGAATTTATTTGAAGCTTCATTGTATATGGTATAGAACCATAATTTCCTTAAAATTTTTTTTTTATTTTAGATATTTTTTCATGAACAGGTTAGGGGTATCCTGGAAGACTGTGCCAACATTTCCACCCTACAGAAATGTGTCTTGTTACCAGAAGCCTATGCCTTCCCAGGGACACATATCTCACAGAGGGCAGACAACCACAGCAGGACTGTCATTCTGTGCTCCCAGTACTTGGATCAACTTGGCCGATCGGACATAGAGCTTGAGTAAATAAATGTGTTGGCTTGCTGTACTTAAATCATCAGTTGTGTAGGTTGAGCTGCTAGCTTGCTGATCTTTATGTAGTAAAATGACCTGAAAAATTTCTTGTACAATAAGATTAATATGTCAAATTTGGACAGTTTTAAGTGAAAGCAATCAAACTTGGTTGAAGCAAAGCTAAAACCAGACACAAGTGTTAGGCATTCCACTATTCATTAAATAAATGCCTTACATTTGTTTGCACCCATTGTCTATCAAACAAGTTGGCTGACAGGAGACTGATGTGGCTATTTTTACATAAGAATATCCACAAGCAGTTGCATTCATTAGGGCAACTGAGCTTTTCATCAAATCAGTTTGGAAATACACTGCGATCTATTAATTTATTCCCCGGTAAATTTGATTAAACCACGGTAAATGCCAGTGCATTATGGGACATGCTGAAACTACTTTAGAAATGTAAGTACAAACTCTGAACAAATGATACTGCACTCAAACAGCTGAGTGCCATTGACAAAGATGTTTTAAACATACATGACTCTGGTTCAGTCAGTGTTGATTACTACTCCTCACTTCAGTCACCATTCCTCTTTCTCTTTCTCAAACATTTATGTCACATGTTCATGTACGGTATTCATTTTTGTATCTTTGTTTTGTATCTTTGAGTTAGTGAAAAACAAATTGCTTAGGAAATAATTTTTTAAATAAATAAAATAAAATATATTTTTATAGACAAGTGTGCAACATCGATTGGTTAAACAACTGTATTTGTTGAGAAATTTTTTAATTAGTTAATAAGCGTGCTCCTAGGAGCATTTTGAAAAAACATAAGGATAACAAAAAAATTCCTACAATAAAGTCTGACATCTTTTGTCCCATTGTCTTACTTAAACAGATATTAACTTAGATTAGGATAGGTTTAATTTGTCAATAATCTAGAAGTACACAAATTCATGCTGAATCTCTAACCAGTATTCTATTGCTATTATCACATAATGACATTTTAAGTACATTTATTGGGAACATGAAATTATAGAAGTATGACCCTTATTAATAAAGACAGAGATAGGGTCTGGTTGTCTTTTTGTGCATCCTCACTTGGACTGGTGCCTAACAGGTTTTTAACTAGTACAAAACTTGGTAGCACTAAAAATGGCAACCACAAGCCAAAATCTGGCAATACCCTAGAATCTTTAAAGACATCATTTCTCTAATTCAAATGAATTAAAAATATATATTTTTTTTTAAATCAACCAACTGACAAGTGGTAAGAGAGGGAATATAACAATGTCATATGATTACCCATAAAGTGATGACACATTTTAAGTTTTTGATAAGTTGAATGTAAATGTATGTAATATTGTAGGATTTTGTGTTTGTTTGGTTTGGGGGGGGGGGGGATGAGTAACATGTGTTTGTTTGGTTGGGGGGGGGGGATGAGTAACACATTATTCTATATATTGAGTGGTTGACAGCCAACTGTAGGGTATTATGTGTGGATATGTGGCACAAGTGTCATCAGGGTCCTGGAAATAACCATAGCTATACCAAGGCATGAATGGGAGGATTAGTTTCTCTTCTTTAAAATTTCAAAACGTTTCAGGAGTAATGGAAAACAAATTGTTTAAAGGCTATTTTTTAAAATTTGACAAAACATGCATACAAGAAATGCATTTTATAAGAATCCCAATTAGTAGGTCTATTGCTTAAAGGCCAGCAGGTAGGGTGTAGGACTGTCTGTAGGCCTATTGTTTAAAGGCCAGCAGGTAGGGTGTAGGACTGTCTGTAGGCCTATTGTTTAAAGGCCAGCAGGTAGGGTGTAGGACTGTTGCAGACTACTTTTTTTAAGGCCTGCAGGTAGGGTGTAGGACTGTCTGTAGGCCTTTTGTTTAAAGGCCAGCAGGTAAGGTGTAGGACTGTCTGTATGCCTATTGTTTAAAGGCCAGCAGGTAGGGTGTAGGACTGTCTGTAGGCCTAGTGTTTAAAGGCTGACATACATTACAGAAAATGAGATGTTAACTATTTTTTTTTTTTGTGACACTTGGACACACAGGGTATTTTCTCAAAATACTCAGACGCACTGTAAAAATACTGCACACAGTTAAGCCCCTAGTTGTTATATATTTTGATGCTGCTGAATTGGTTTGAAATAAAATTATTTGAGCTTAACATTATGTTGTTTTAATATTGGTTCATTGTCTTTCAGTAAAGAAATTGCTTGAAAGTGATCAGATGCTTTGTAAAAAGAATTAATTAAATCTAGTTTTTTATATAATATAAATATTTGTGAAGCAACAACAGGATTTTAGTGAACTTCAAAATTTTAATGTCCAAAATGAGATGAACATGACCAAAAAAAAAAAAAAAATGAAAATTGTGACCCAATGAGACAAAGAACTATGTCAGAAATGTACATAAATATGAACCAATAGGGAGAAATGAGCTTTCAAATAAATAACATTATTTATGGTTAAAAGATATGTGTACTCTATAAACACCACGGACAGCAAGAGTTGTGACACTGGGCTAACCAGGTCAATGTTAATATAAATATTCATGTAGTAAATGATTTATCTTCTACACATTTCTTCCTTTCACTGGCTGTGATGAAAATGTGACATTGTGTACACAATACTCTGTACTGCTTCAGTATTTTAAATGTAGGGCTTCTGAACACAAGAAAATAAAAATTAAACCCAAATCATAAATTCAAAGAAATTGTAGACTGTTTTGAATCTTAGAAATCAAAAGTCCAAGTATTATTTTCTTCAATGTAATAAAAATTCTCTTATGTATAATTTAAAAAAAAATTTTTTTTTACCATAAAATTTATATTTTTAATAAGTCGTCATAATTTTAAAGAGCTTTTTTTTCTTTTTTTTTTACTTAAGTGAATTTATGACAAGCATCTGAACGGAACATTTAAAAGATGAAATATGAGACAAGAGGTTTGGTGGAGGGCATTAAGAATTCAGTATTTACAAACACAAAATGCCACTACTGGGTGGGCAATGACACCATCTCCACAACAAATATATATATATATATATATCTTGGCTGTTGACACAATTAAATACAGGGATCTGTACACAATCAAAAACTTGCATATACATGTGGAGTCTCATCACCTGCCACATGTGGAGTCTCATGTCCCACATGTGGGGGTCTCATCATGTGCCACATGTGGAGTCTCATGTCCCACATGTGGGGGTCTCATCACGTGCCACATGTGGAGTCTCACATCCATTTGTTGAAGCAGGGATTCAGTATCTTAAGTTGGTGATGAAACATTTGGTCAATCATCCTTCTTGTCCATACACACCAGACATTACCAATAATTGTATACATGGAGCAGCCCACTATTAAAAATAGATTTGACCATGTATGTACTTACATTCACCAATACATCACTCAAAGGAACATTCCAACTAAAGTACTTGAGGCCAAAAATCACGAAACAGAGAAAAAAAAATGAATATTAATGGTGAAACTAAAAGACACAGGAGAACATACTCAGCAGCAGCAGTTTGAAATGTCATTTTAAAAAATTTAACCTCCCAACAGATGCAAAAAAAAAAAAAAGAAATTAAACATTTTAAGATAGATATGTTACTTGTTATTACATCAAAAATATATTTTCAATAGGGATTGATTGAGATTCTTACAAAGATTTGTTTAATTTGATACAATTTGTTTATTTGCTGTAAGTAAATTTTGAAAACTAACGGTAGGTTGAAAGAGGTCTAAAAACTTGATTTTTTTGTACAGCGAGGACTGTCGGCATGTACACTGTACAGCAGTTGAGATCAAATTTTTATCATGTGGTTTTCTAATACCAGACTTGATTTTCCGCCAACATAATCACAAGACCAAAAAAAAATCAGGGTGGCGTGTTTTAAAATTAAATATATGACTAGAAAATTGAGGTTTGGGACAAGTCTCTCTGGAAAAATCAGTGCTAACAGCCTAAAACCTTCAAACGTCATTCAGAAATACTAGGCTAGTGTCACAAAAAGCAGAAGCTCAAAACATTGATTGTTGATTGCATACTAGTATAACTGATGATCAACACTAGGTTTTGAAAAAGTTTAATAAAATTTATCAGTAGTCTTAAGACAGTTCAAATTGTTTTCACTTTTCACAACAGCCCATTTGATTGGAAGGACCAGCATTTGACTAATGACCCTCACCATCAGATTATTCATTCACACACACAAGTTCAAATTGCATCTTGACAGCTAAAAATTCATTGGTTTAAAAGAAACTTAATGCACAGAGACAGTCCTATGATGAGGCATATCTTAATGATAATGTATCTTTAAGATAAGTTAGTCTAATATTAATAACCATAAAGCAAAAGTTCCAGTCAAGAAATACCATAAATACTTTAAATACGTACTGGTATATAAACATTACCCAATTATAAATAGGTAGCCATTACTTAGAAGGTACATTTTAACAATAGTGAAATAAAGTCATTTATGTAAAAAATATATCTGTAAAATAAGAAATCTCTTTTTTCCCCAAGGGTATTTAAAGTGATGTTTTGCTGGTAAGTTCCATGAACCAGACTAAAAAAAATTAGGGACAATGGAGGTTACTTAGATTTTTCATTGACAAGGGGAGGTCAAGATCTTGAAGAGGGCTAGGAATTGCTGCTTCAAGGTAGCCGAAGACAAATGTTTACTTTTAACCAAAGGAAATAAATCACGATGCTGGTTACACAAAAGTTCAATGAAATAAAACGTGCGCCAAGCCAAGCAATGAAGGATTAACAACAATGTATCATCAAATGGATCTGTCAGCAACTAAAATCATAGTGTATGAAACCATCACACAAACAGAATCACTGGAAACAAAGTTAACATTTATCACATTGAAGTCCAATGTTATTGCACCAAAATAATCAAATGTACACATGACCAGTAAAGTGGAGCACTTTTCTGAACAGTTAAAAATAAAATAAAAAATGTATAGAAATGTACAAGAAATTAATGGGTGAGTCTGAATCCCAACAAATTACACAAGTTTTTTAAAAAACTATAAAACTTCTCCTGCCAGGGGAAAACATTATCTAAAAATTGTAATACAAAATAGAATTTATGTTTTACTTAAAACAGGTAAAAGTTTTGATTAGTGCTCTGGAAATAATCTCTTTTTCTTTCTTCCTCTCTGGGTAAATAATGAGAATTATGTGTTTCAAGAAATGAAGTTCATCTCAAGTGTTAATCTGGAAACTTTATAGTTTACACATGGCTAATCTCCACTAGTTGGGGACAGGGACGAAGTCAAGCAAAAACCTTTTAACTCTCCACATATACAATGTTGCATTCTAGAAAGTCTTGACTTGACTGCTGAATGTAGAAAAAGGATCCAGACAGAGGGATCAGGTCGTGTTTAAAAAAAACTAGATCTGTACACTCGCATTAAAAACTTGTTACAAGGTATTCAAAAAACAACATTCATTCTATAATTACATGGTTACCATTTTAAACTCTCCATACAATCAGGGGGCCACACCTTTCTAATCACTCAACTGTTTTCTTGTAATGAACGTTACTGGAGCATTACAGCCAGTAATATGCAAGTTCTACTCCTAAAATCTGAACCAAGGAAAAAAATCATTGCATAATAGAACTTAGGACTGCTAGGAAAGAAAATGCACGGCTGCATGCGCTGACCTACAATGACAGCAGGTAGTGGAAATATTTACACAATTCCTTATTGATGACATTTAAAAAAAAAAATTATCTGAGGGCTATTTTAAACAGCTTTTTGTGAACTTGACAACTCAGCTCTTAGGCAGCCCCTGTCGAGTCTATAAATCTCTCTTGCTTAAAATTTAAAAAAATAATTTAACATTCATCTGATTCACAAACGTGAATGTTGCTATAGGCAAAGACCTCAGCATAAATGAAGTCAGGCTGTAGCTCTGCTAAGAATGAACACCACACACATTGCATTGACCACTCTGTTCATAAAAAATTACCATCCCAAAATGTTGAGGCTGACCTGCAAGCAGTGTAATACATAAGCAGACTGCATTTAGTTCATTCATTGGATAATAACAAAAATCCATACGCTATAACACACAGGAGAAATATTATTATTATTATTATAAAGAAGAAAAAAAAAACATGAGTAGATTCAAGTCAACAGCCTCATTCAAAAATATCCTGATTTATTTTTTGCTGTTGCTGTATATGAAACAGAATCTTCAGGAGGAATTCTGGTGCAAAACAAATCCATCAAACACTAGCTGCCAAAGTAGAGTTTTTCTACACTTTGATGTGATTTTAAAAAACAAAACAAAAATTTGGTATTTGCACATTTTTAAAAAAAAAAAAACAATTTAAAATAAATCAAATTCATATTAAAATTAGATTTTATCTTTTTCCCCATATACTGTATTATATGGTTACTGTCAGTGGCATCTAAGTATCTATTATTCATGATTCAAAATCACAAACACATCGTATTGATTGAGAAAATATTAAATCCTTTTCTTCTCAGTCAAAACTTAACTGTCTTGAAAAGGAAAGAGAAATCTAATAGGGTGATGAAGAAATGTCTATACCCAAATTAAAAGAAAAATGCCCCAAGATACAAAATGAACCCAAGACAGGATTTGCTGAGAGGGCTCTTATAAACACTTAACATTCTTCTATATGGAAAAATAGTGCACCAGTTCAATAAGTGTTATCTATTTTATACCACTAAGACTTCATGAGATGTAATGGTTAATTCATTATGTAACAAAATCGTTGACTTGTGAAACTCAATCAAATTAAATCCTTGCCATCGAGTGACTCGGTCCTGAATGATTTACCATCTCCCACATAATGCTGAATCATGCACGTCATGAAAACCAACTGAAATTAACGCTCAGTCGATAGTTAACCGTCAGTGCAGAAAAGTTAACTCTAAATGAAATGGTGGTGGGTTGTTGGACATTAAAACTTGTCTAGATCACCAACCAGCCCCGGTTCAGGGTGCCTCCTGATATAATTTTTACAAGTATTTAAACATCTAATAGTCTCCTTACTCTCAAGTGTGAGAATTTCAGTCCAAATAACTTGTTGAG